GCTGTCCGTGAGGTAAACACGACAATTCGGTTGTGCATGGCGAGATACACTATATTTAACGGGGAACCAGAGGTACATTTTAAGCTAAAAAGGTTCCCAGCAGTGCAAGTATGATTGAATAATAGAGTCAAGATTAAACTGAACAGAATAGTTTTAAACGGTTCTGAACAAAACTAGGAGAATCTAAACCGAACTTAACTAAACTAAACTAAAATGAACTGGCCCGAACTAGATCGAATTCAGCAGAACTTGATTGTAGGTAGGATCTGAGGTGCTCACGGCGGGGAGTACGAAGATAGTTGTCTTCTGGGTTGTAGTGCCGTGTAGTCTGGTAGACGTTTACCAACATTTAAGAGGCCCTTGCTACTTCCATCATAAGGTCGAGGCAGCAAGGACCCCTGAAACACTGGTAAACTTCTCATGGACTACACGGAGTTACATAACAGAAAGCAGCCACACTTAAACTGGATAGAACTATACGGAACTAGACTGAACTCCATTGAAGGAACGTAAACATATGAATTATCAGTACCTTTGGGTGTTTAGAAATAATGGAATTAAAATAATTCTTTAATCAGTGTTATATTTGGTGATAGATAAAGATGATATTCTCTAATATTAGGAGTTCAAAGTTAAGGAACTGTAGAAAAATTGTTTCTTATTCACATCTGTCTTCGGCAATCCATATCGTCACTTCTTTCAACATTTACTGTCTGAACATATCAGCTAGAATGACATTTACTGTGCTTCATGAGGCAATCCATGTGAAAAGCTGTGGGATTTAGCACGTTCGCAGGTGAATATGTCGGACAAACACTTTTACACTACTTACGTTAGCATAAACAAATGAAAACATCCGTCCTTTGCCCCAGAAATAAACTTCACAGAAATAATAAAATTAATTTATTATGAAAATGTTATTAATATATATTTCCCTTAATCAATGTTTTATTATTTATAGCTGTGGAGACATATAAATAATTAAACACTTCCCATGTAACGAATCATCTGTGGATATAATTTATTTTGTACTATAAGCCTGCTATATACAAACACATTTTTATGTACAAAATATTTAGACCTAACAGAATGGTACCTTATTTCACAGGTGTGTTGAAGAGAAAGACAAACCAATAGCAATGGGATTCGGAATGACAATGGGAAGCCTCTGTGCTTTCATTCCGTCACCCATACTTTTCGGAATTATTTTAGGTAAGGACAAACTATAGACAATGTTGGTGTGCCAATTGAACGTGGAACAAACGAAGTATAAATTCAATTCTCTTGACTTTTGGGATCCCTGTGTGTAATACACAAGTGTTTAAAGAATTGGGCCTTCAGGACTAATAAGTCTTCCTTACAGGCTACTTTGTTTCCCTTTACGTAACAATAACAGCTCATTTGAACATTTCGTCTTCATATCAAAATAATTTCAGTTCCATTTCAAACATTTGCTTTTGCAGATAAGACGTGCTTGGTGTGGGGTAAGACTTGTTCTGGCACAGGGAACTGTTGGCTCTATGACGGGGAATCCCTCAGATACGTGCTCAACTTTACAGCAGCCAGTAAGTAACAGCAATCTTAAAAACACGGCTTAATTATAAATGGATTAAATAAACAAAAGGCAAAGAATGAATCAAGTAAAAATGTTACCCGGGTGGATATATTGATTCCTGGGGCATTTTACGAGTCCTTTTCAACTGATTTGGTCATCTCATAGAAGGATGTTATAAATAATAAATTGGAAAGAGCGTGATGTATTTTAAGGTACTGTCTCAACATTATCCTACAGAGATCGAGGTAAACAACATACACAGCTGGAAAATTAGTCAGAAGCCGAGATTAAAATAACGCGATCTCCCGAATAAGAAGCAGAAATGCTAAACACTACAGCGTACATTTGGTACTCCAATGGAGGACACAGACTTTATAAATTTATTCTTTGTGAATTTGTATCGTTTATGGCTATTTTTTATTTATTGCTGATGCAAATTTATTTCTTTATTTATTAATGCAATTTTATTTAATTTGTGCTCAGTTTCTGTGGTAGGATTAATAAAATTCGTATACATTCATTTCCGTTTTTGACAAAGATGATTTACAATATATGATTGTATTGAATTCCCTTTATTGTATTTAAACCTACACATTCATACTCAATATATCAGTTATTGGTAAATCTATAGACAGCGGTGGTGTTTTAAATGGGAAAATGCAAAAAATCTTAACAAATTTATTCTCGTCCTTTCCTGTTTCATACGTCACCCTATTCTCTCAGAGGAACACATCATCTTTTAATCTATATTTCATTAAGGTCTATAGTAAGTGGAGATACGTTGTAAATAAATGTATTTATCAGCGCAACTGAATCTAAATTCTTCACCATCGTGCGTCAGTTATAAGCACGTTTGAAAGTATTAAATCTGTGTTTATATTTCAGGTGTAGTAGGGCTTAACCACGTACTGGACAAAGACCAAAATTAAATTCGCAAAACGTTTTGCTGTAGACATCACAATGACGAAAGCAATTGGAATCCGTCAGATAGTTTCGAGGATTAAATAGGGTTTTTGTAGCTGAATGGAGTCAAACAGAATTTTATTGTCATGTTATGAATTTGTGCCGGCGCAGTGGCCACGCGGTCTGAGGCATGGACCTCGTGCGCCTGGTCGCTGGGACCGTGGGTTCGAGTCCCACTCAAGGCATGGATGTTTGTCCGCGTCTTTTTGTCTTTGTATAGGTAAAGGCCTTGCGTCGGGCTGATCACTCATCCAAGGAGTCCTACCATTGTCCAAATAGATCAAAATGAATAAATAAAAAACCTCGACACCTACGGGTAAAAGAGGATAACAAGAAAGTTGTGAATTTGTGTAAAGAATGCATACACGGTAGTAAAATGCGTTGCATAAAGCTCAGATCAAACGGTGTCATTGTCCTAAAAATGTCTTATCGGAAATAAAAGTATTTTAACAGAATATGAAATACAGAATTGATTACTATATTACAGAATTGATTACGATTTAAGGCCATTTTTTAAATATCCCTCAATATGTCTCCTTGTGAATATATACCGACGGACTATTGATTACCGCCCCCACATAATGACATATCTGTAACACGGTTATCTTTTCAAAAATATAATTATTATAACTAATAACAAGTAAAGAAAGCCATTTTCATACTGGCCGCCATGAGAACCTCAAATCTCATTAAAAATTGTTTAATTAACAAGATGGCCATTTACGATTATTTCATTGGCTAGTGTGTGAAAATAAACATACCTTCGTATTTTCCTGGTCGCAATAGAAGACAACCCAGCTCTTTTGGCACAAGATCAATCCAGCAGTTATTCATGCACACCCAATATTGCTTTTTTTACGAAATTAACTTCACCACATTCACCAATTCCTTGTTATGAACTAAACTGCGTCGATGCAGTACATTATGCCAGAGCAATCCGAATCGACAACTGTATTCTCCACCGAAAGGCGAAATCACGAATTGTCCCAAGTCAAACGCAGTGATTTACTGCGTCCACGTTCGGACTTGACGAGTTTAACCGGTCTAACCAGGAACAGAACTACGGGAACCTTTTACACGTTTCAATCAAAATAGTCAGAAAGATACACAGTGACAATGAGTATTGGAAAGGATAGTAAATTGAGATTATGACCCATAATTTATTTGAAACGACTAAAAACAACACGAAAATATTACATTTTCTTTCCTACTTTTCTTTGTGTCTCATGCTCAACGTAGCTTTCATTTATTTCTGACGACATTGGGGTTTTCTTTCTGGATTGGAAACTGGGGCAAATAACCAGCTCAGGTCCCTGGTGCTGCAAAGTGATTCATCCTTTGTTACTTGTATGTATTTATCTACATGCATGTATACTCTTGTTCAATTCATACTTTGTGAATAAACAATTTTCTTATAAAGTTTTCTGGGCCTGTGTACGTATCAAACTTATATTAGGTTAGCTGGTCTTAGGGCCGAGACTTAAACGCGAGATAACCAACTGGTTGTGACAATAAGATCAAGAATACATGAGTAGCACATCAGAATACAACACTGAACTGGCGCTGAGTATGCACTAATAATGTATTATTCTCAACAGGTTTCGTCGCTATAGGAACAGTCTTCGATGCTGCTGTGTGGTATTACTCAAAGAATCTGAAAATATTTGATGAAGAAGTTGAACTTAAAGAAATAGAAGAAACGCAAGAGAAAATAGTAATTGATGACTGAAGTTTTCGATGTTCAGTGACTGGGTCTGGCGTTTTAAGCTACGGACAATGTTTTGGTTCGAAGGTGTTCAGACCTGAAGACATTAGGGGGCGTGTAAGTTTCGTTGTTCAGAATGATTCAAGTGATTAAAACGTTTTGTAGGGTCTATGCCCCATTTACTGTGAGTAAAATTAAAATGAGTATGAACGGATAAAAAAATATAAAATAGGAATATAGAAATCTTCAGTGAGTATGGAACAACTTTTGTCATAAATTTCTTAAGATATTTCACGTCAACTGACCAGTGTACTGCAAGCTATTAATCTTTTCCCTAGCAACATACAATAATTTGAAATTAACCTTTTAATAAATGAACGTCTGATAGATCCACATTTAAATTTACGTCTTACATTGTCTAGCTTATCAGTTATGAAAATTGGTGTCCAACGTTGGACAATCTTATATATGTGCTAACACGGCATACGAAAAATAACACTTTGCGTGTAAAAGATGCATACGAACTTTTATTTTTAAAAGATATGTAAAACATATCCATATATGACTATAGAAATTGATAAAAAATTAACGTTTTGCGGTAAAAGGCCTACTATAGTGTTTTCTAAACATTTATAGGTAAATATTTTTAGTTAAGAACATGTTTAAGCAACCCCACACCGAAAATAAAAAAAATACACAGCACATAATAGGTTTTACAAGGATCGTGACAGCTTTGCAAAGTTAAAGGCAGATATTAAACTTGAGTAGAGATATATTTTTTTCTCATCCACCCAGCACCTTAGGTAGGATAAAACGTAATCTTTTCCGGGCGTCAAAGTGTGCATCCAACACTCACTTCGTTTTACTGTCTAGGTCTGCAAAGCATTCTCGTATGTCCTTACATCCGCGTTCCGTCACTTTTAAATCGATGGAGTAGAGAATTTTTTGACAACTTGATAATTATAATGATGGCTATCTTCTGGGTTGCTGCTTCATATATTCTGGTAGAAGTTCTCCATGTTCCAGAGGTTCTTGTTGTTCTAATGATGGAGGTAACAAGTACTTCTGAAACGTCGGTAAGCATACCAGACTATACGTCGCGGCAACTCAGAAGACAGCCATCTTCACATTAGCCGCCGGTAGAACCTCAGATCTCACAAGTTCATAGTTGCTTTCCTAGTCATGAAATTCTCCGCTCTTATGGAACCCGAAAGCTCATTAATATTTTCACAAAAGCCCGCTATTATACTACATCTAGATCCTATTAAACCCAGTCTACACCGTAACGTATTTCATCAGTTTAAATATTAGCCTCCCATCTAAGCTACAATAAATTGTATTTATACTTGCATATGCTTCAAACTGTCCAAATTTTCCAAGAAAACAATGTGTAGGATTTCAAAATAACTTTAGCAGAATAATGTAGTCCCTAGCACAGAACTTTGTTCTTCCACGTGTTAATTACCTGCAACATATTCCCCTGTTTCTTATCCACAGCTTTAACGGCAATATTCTGAAGAAGATTACGATCAACATATTGTCTCCGTTTACCGTCAAATTAGCGTTCTTCTGGAAACATCATTACACGGAGTTAAAAAAATTGAATAGAATACAAGTCACTCTGTATCCGTTTCGATATGTGAAAAGAGGGCGAGAACGTTTAATTAAATTCTTTTTTGGGGGGGGCGAATTCGGCAGAGTCTACCAATTCGCCACTCTTTATTTCTATAGTGAACTATAGTTTTAAGTTATTGCCGTGTTTTGTTTACAATTTATGAACATTACATTTAGTTATAAGAAAGTTGACAACAGAAATTCATTAATTTACTTTGTAAAAGACGCACATTATGGGAGTTGTAAAGTAAAAAAAAAATTCACAACACGAATCTTTTCAGAAAATCGTTGAATAAAATTCCCATGAAAACGGAAAACAGACGAATACGCCACTTCGGCGGTACATGGAGCCATTTCAGTCTTAACAAAATATGAGTGCACTTTAATTATTTGAATACTCATTTCTAAACAAACTTGTACCTTAATTTGTATAGTGTTAAAGTAATAATGCTTGAAAGCAGAACAGTTTTAAACACATTAAGGGTGGTTTTACAGCTGGTATGTAGACCCATTGTTTAATTATGTCTGTCATTGTGAATAATTCTATGTTAATAAATTCTGTGTAGAATTTACTATATTTTTATTGCACATTTACTAAATAATATGCAAAGATCTCGTTTTAGTACACCTGCTTAAATTAAAATAAATTTCAATATTTGTTATTGGGTATTATCATGTCATTGAAGGTGCGACAAACGTTGTCTTGGCATTACTGTCTCATTGCAGTCATAAACTCGTAAGACAAGCCAATATTTAATTTATAAAGCGAATTCAAATATTCTATAGGAATACTTAAACATACGTCACTGTAATGTAAGTTCTCTTCAATCACAGTAAAACACACAATAAGTCCGGAAAGTTTATTTAAGATGGCGTACACATACAGGTGTTCCAAATGTGTTCTTTGCGAATTTAATTAATCTGTTTTCATAAATTCTATTCTTGCAGGCCCAAATTCAGTTAATTTCTTTCGTATTATCAATTTTTATTGAACTTTTGTCACAGAACTCCAGAAACAATAATTATTCACACAACAAGATAGGCCTAAAAGTTTATTATCAAGAATACATCGTATAATATTTTTTTGTAAATCAATAATTATTTAAAAGATGCACGGAACTGGTACAATTTTAAGAATCGATAGTTTTATAAATTAGAAATTATATAAAAAACAAATCAAAGTTTATGGAAACACTATTCAGCTTTCACTGTAGATTCGTAGCAGAAATAAGCGTTAAACACCGGTAACGTAGAGTACAGAATTCTTCAATTATATTTTTTTTAAAAGTACGTCATACTGACAAAAAATATTTGGAGATCTTAATAAGGTAACGGCCTTTATTATACGAGGGTTACTTCAAAAGTCAGGGCAACTAATTTTTTGGGGACAAAGACGTTACACTGAAGAAAGTTCAAAATATACATATGAAAGGGCACGATTTACTCCTCTGACTACACCAATCAGAGGAGTAAATCGTGCCCTTTCATATGTATATTTTGAAATTTCTTCAGTGTAACGTGTTTCCCCCAAAAAATTAGTTGCAATGACTTTTGAAGTAACCCTCGTATTTTATTTCATGTACAAATGCATTCTCTACCTCACTGAATTGTTTTTAAGACACACGACGAAGGTCGATATGAGTTTCACATAAATTAGCATATAATTTATAAAGCTACTGTACGAATAATAACAATAATTAAAAATGCTGTAGTCTGATAGAAGTTCATCAACGTTTCAGAGGTCACTGCTGCTTCCATAATCAGAGCTGATCGCCAATTTTCAATGTAGATTGCAATACCATATTTATTTTAAGGCTGTTCAATACACAAAACATTTCTGATCTTTAGTCGCGTCACAGAAAGGAAGAAAATGAAAATGACAAGAGTGGGCAAGCACAGAAGAACTTAAACCTTTTTCTTTCTCCTCCTAATTTCGACACAATCTAGCATTTTTATACTCTTTGACTTTCACTTTGCACTGCATTTTGTAAACCATGGAACTATAAAACATCAAAAAACATCAGCATTGTAGGCACACGTTTTAACCCACACGCGCTATTTCTACAACAAAAGATTGGGTTCTTTCTCCTCATTTGCTATCGCTTCGCCGTCCCCTCCCCCTACTTCCCACGTGTTTATTTGCAACATTCGACGAAATTCTGAGTTATTTTGTGGCCAATGTGCTGTCTAGATAAAACAACAGAGCGGACGGATACATCCTACATCCCCAATGAATACAAATTTTAACAAGCCTACTTTTTCATGACAACTGACTCTGTCTGCTACACGATATAGATATTATTATCAGGGCTGCGTTTGAGACACAGAGACAGGTCACTGTTTTTTTTTAGTGTCGGGGCGCTGCCCTATAATTCATTTTAGAAATAGTGATGTCAAATACGGATGGTGTAGCCTAAAGCTTTAAGCCCACTATTTAAAAAAAAATCATTGTGTGTTACTTCAGAAATTTAAAAAAAAAAATATATATATATAGTATAAAAGTCAGAAATAAAAAAAATGTTTTCTCTTGTATTAAAATCCCCTAACTTATTATTTGTTTCTTTGTTTGTTGTTTATAATTTAATTCTGCATTTAAAAGTGTTAAACTACAGTTAATTAACAATAATTTTCTTTCAACCTATAATTGCGTTCTAGACCGGCCCAGAACATTTCTTAAGAATTCACCCATGATTATTATCAACGATGTCATTCCAGTGTATTTTCAAATGCTTCGATAGAGATAACATTAAGAACAGACAGTACTGTCTCGTGGAATATTATTTTCAATGGCCGTACACGTCAAGTTTTCCATTTCGATTTTCTCGCATTGGGCTGTAACATACGTGAAGTTTCTTTTATAAAATGGTAGTAAAAGCGAGTCATAGTTTACTTCTTCGGACAGATGATTTTAAAGCCTGTTAAGTAAACACTTTTTACACACATACAAATGTTGTCTCCTTTACGCTATAAGTAACTTGATACTGTATACACAACTCTGAAGATGATTTTCTCACGAGATCATGTGACATCAGATGGTCAGAAACGTCAATATCTCGGCCACCATCGTACGTGTTCGTCACTTTAGTTTCTCACGCAATTAAAAAAGTATTTGATTTATTTTATCGGTAAGATATGGAATTTGCGTTGTTAGAAACAGCTGACGTTGTTTACAAAACACACACATGGACAAGTACTTCAAAACAAATAACGAAAAATTGTTTCGGACGTGTTTAACTACGTTACACTGGAAGTACTAATTCAGAGGAAGACTATAGGTTGGATGGAACAGCTGAAGTTTTCGACAGCTTCAGTTTATATGGAAGGGAAAACAGCTCTACAATAAATTGCACAGACAGTTACAAATCCCCACTTCTTCCAGCAACATAATATATATCTACAGCTTCAAGTTGGTGATAAGATTAGAGATGCCTGGTTTCACCCATGACTACATAGTGGTTGTGCATTTAACTTATTATTTAGCCATACCTGGGCCTCCGTTATAAACTGGTATGCTGTTACCTTTACGTTAAGTCTATTCTTAATGTAAGAAAGACCTTCTGCCGCTGTGCCGTGTGGCTAGTACAGACTCTGCGGTCTGTTGGGAGATGACGCTTCCATGCTGTCATCCATGTGATCACTGAGCTCCAGAATGCTGAATCCTAACTCCTGTTCTGGTTGCCTTATCCTCTCTACTTCACTCCTCAGTGTGACACCATCAACTTCTGAAGTCACTGGGTTCTGCTGTCGACGTCTAAAACCTGGAGTTGCACGTCTCGATGTGATCTTTGGGTTTCTTTTCCTGTTAAGATCTTCCATTTCAAAACAATCATCATCATCATCATCATCATCACCGGAGTATAGGTCGAGATCACGAGCGAAATACCAAACAGCTGCGCTAAGCAAGGCGCAGACTGTCATTAAACCTGAGAGAATTAAAACACTTCGGTAAATAAAACTAGTTAATAATTAAAAGTACTAAAATAATTTGATTTTTACTTCTAAGCTGAATTTCCTTATTTTATATTGCGTATTTTCTATTATTAAAATATTTAAATGTATATGTTGAAGTTAGCACAAACTTATTCGTTCTATAGAGCAAAATCTTCCTTGAAAAACTGATAGCTACTCAGCTGGCTATAATATTTCTCGAATTTTACAGACCCAGAAGGTCACAGCTGACCAGTCCCTAAAATCCTACATCTTTATTATTAATTTTAATATCCTACTTACAAACAGCATTCATAAAAAAGTTATAAATTTCTCTTCATAATTTCCATTAATCGACCTACAGAATGCGACTACGTTATATTTGTCACAGGCCTCACATAACCTCAAATTATTGTACCTGAACCATGTTTAAATGTTTGTTACTGTTAATACACAAACGATTTTTTTCAAAAACAATTTGTAAATATATTTGTAATCTATGAATACGTAAAAATTCACATATATCTTCCATGATTCATCAGTTACAGTCATAACAAAAAAAACATATATTAAATGTTCGCTTGATCGCCATTTCTTGTTTCATATTCTGTAAGAACGTTACCACGACAAAAGTTTCCCAGGCATATACATCAAAACCCTATCAGCAATCAAAATGTTAGAACCCTGTATTAAGTGTTGCTAATGTCGTTTCCACCTCAGAGCTTCGAAGAGCTGCAATGTTTGTATAACCGGCTACAGGAAACTAAAAAGTAGTGAGTACACAGTACACACAGGCCAAGAAACACCGTGATTTCCGTACCAAATGTAACTGAAGACAGTCAATTATTTTGTAAGTTATTAGACTGTACAAACTTACTGACATGTTTTTACAGTAAACTTCAGAATCATGAAAGGAGGCTAATTAGGGCTTGGGTAACATATTCCTCAGTGTAGACCTATGTCGTGGCCTTCCGTTAATTTCTGAAAGAACTTTATGTACTTAACAATAATTTATATGTAGATCGAGCCAATAAATTACTTGTATTCTTTAATTCCCTACCATAAATATTACCAATGTGAAATCACTAAATTATAGTGGCACTTAATCAAAATCAGTAAATGTCTTTAATGGAATAGATAGCCGACAAATGTGTTTTTTAGTAAAAAAAGACTTTTTTGTCAGTAAAAAGCGCATAAGATACACCATCCTTAATATTTAAGTTAATATACTCACATCCTGAGGTAACATGCATATAAAGTCCAAAATATTCAGCGTCATATAATTTGCACTCCTCTGTGTCACTGCTACCTCGAAACATGCACGAAGAATCTGATACAAAACAAAGGGTTTAATTATTTATAAAAATATCCTATTGGCGTGGTGAATTTCAGGATTCCAAAGGATAGAAATCGTAGGCTTCACTCCTATAGCAATTTATTTCTATAGGCTTTTGCACCATAGCATTAATTGTCATGTAGTGACAGCTAAAGTAACCAGCGTCAATCAGAATTTGCTATCGATTCTTATTGAACGTCACTCTCACAAGTGCACTAACAAGTTATGAAGTCGCACTGTTGAAGCACGTGGTGTTGGTCATACGAGAATGAAGCGTGCTGTTAGAAGGGGTAATTTGATTAGAATAATTACACGGCAATAAATAATGCGATAATAATCACAATAATATAATAAATTTTTATCGGGCTACCAGCCGTGTCAGGTGGTTGAATGGAGAAAACACCAACGTTTCGAGAACCATCTTCGTCCTCGACCTCAGTACCCTGAGGACAAGGACTATTATACTTAGTCGCCGTTACAGCTTCAGATCATAAATCATATTAATAAGTGAATACTGAAAATTAAAATAAAAGTAAAATGGATAACAGATTCTACCTGCCATCAGCTGGTACACCAGGTTGGCGGGTACGTAAGCGATAAGACCCACCAGGGTAAGTTCCAGTCCCACCGCGACGGACTTGTCTTTGGGCTGCACACTCCTGCAGGTATGAGACTCCGACTAATTTAAATATTTAAGCCTGTGCCAAGGATGGGAAGAAGGAAACAGAGAAAGGATGTAGACAAACGGAACAATGAAAAGTGAAAGAAAGAATTCAAGAGAGAAATGAGGATACAAATAGGAGGCAAGGATTGAAGAGAGAGGGAAAGAATATGAAATGTAAAGGAAGCAAGTAATAAATTAAAATAAAGGAAAACACACACACATAGATTGATTGATTGATTGATTGACAGAGATATGAGAGAGGGACACTTCATCCAAATGAAAATATTTCAAAACACATCTATCACGTCACTCGTAATTCGAGGCATTAATTTGCACTAGGCCCACAAAGATACATTAGTAATACCAAAGTCACAATGGGGAAAGCCGGAATTAATTTATTAGATTTAATTAATCTCGTATTTAATTTATTCGAACGGCTTTTTGAATGAAGATACGCCTAACAGACTAACAGGCCTATATCGAAACTACCACCTCACCTGTCATAATAAATTCAAGTTTGCTAAGTGCTCTGAGCCACTGTTTTCAAACAGTTTACCTGGTTCAAGAGTCTGCTTTTGTTACTAATTCAGCGCCAAAATATGTGCTCAATACGAAATTGTAGTACAGTACCTGAAAGTCAAGATGGCGTTGCCTACCAGTCGCGTGCCGACCAGAGCCGCTGTCAGGACAGTGAAGCACTGGTTGACGATCCAGCTGAAGTTGCAGTCGGGATTATTGCAAGGTCCCCCTTTGGCTTGGTGCAGCAACTGATTTCCCAATTTATCCCGAACGCAGCTGCAGTTCGCGAACGACTGTAAACAATAACTCTTCATACGCCCCGTCTAAACACCACGACATGGAGCTGTAACGGATGAATGGAGGTAAAACTCCACACTTTCGGTCACATACCGGAAGATTCAGGGGGCAGACATATCTAAACATTTATCTAGTTTGTTAAAAATAAGTCATTTATTGTGTTTGTTAGTGAGATAGTTGAATGTTATTTTAGTCACATATTCAGGTAAGTGGTTAGTAGGTGTAATTTAATTTAAATTGGATTCATTTAGCTCAAGATAAGACTCAGTGGTTAACTCTTGTGAACATGGTAGTTCTTACATCCACCTTCTCAAGGAAGAGGTCGGGCGGAGGTTAGATTAGTGACTTACGTCGTTCGTTACTTACTCGTATTTATCAACTTATATTTGATAAATTTAGCTTGGTTAATTACATAGTTTAAGTAATCTTAATTTGGCATTGTTTGTTATAGTTTTCGTTTACGTATGTATTAACCAATTATTTAATAACTTACATACTTAGCTAGTTGCCAATGTCCTTTCTAGCTCATTTAGTTTTCTTTAATTTCGTTATTGCCGTTCAGATTTATTAAATTGCTTGGATACATTGGTTATTTATTTTCGTCGTCAGTTATCAGTTATCCGGTTTAGGATTCGAGACTTTCGCGGAGAGTACAATCAATAAAATCTTCTCGGGCAATCAGCCGCGTCAACTGGTTCCCGAAACGTCGGTTTACTACGGTAACCAGTTGACGCGGCTGATTGCCCAAAAAGATTTTGTTGAGTTATTCGGTTATTTATCTGTGCAAAACTTCAATTTAGTTATTTTATTTACTCAGTAATGTTGACAGCATATAGTGATGGTTTAATTGAAAACTTTTTACCTTTATGTCGTCCAAGCGGGCAACCAGCCGCGTCAACTGGTTCCCGAAACGTCGGTTTACTACGGTAACCAGTTGACGCGGCTGATTGCCCAAAAAGATTTTGTTGAGTTATTCGGTTATTTATCTGTGCAAAACTTCAATTTAGTTATTTTATTTACTCAGTAATGTTGACAGCATATAGTGATGGTTTAATTGAAAACTTTTTACCTTTATGTCGTCCAAGTATTGCACCTGTGTACAACCCGCGTGGCAAGGCGAGTAGTATAAGAAGCTACCCTGCTCGGTACACACGGGAGTGAAAAGTGTCGAATCGGAACAATCGCAGTGCCTGTTACAGGTCTGCAGTGGTTGGAACCTGCGCAGTAGACACAAGCGAATACATTCGTGTAACACACGAACGCAGAGAGGTTTATAACGATCTATTTTCCCTTAAAAGATTGTTTATAAAAATAATATAAATCTGATATGTAGCAGCAGTGGTTTGACATGATTTCGGATGCCGAGAGGTTACTCAAATTCCAGCAAGTAATGTTTACCAGTGGAATTTCTTTATGCAAACTAAACTGCGTAAATTACAGTTATAGAAGCACAAAAACAGTTATGTCCTTCTACGACAGAGTGCAAATGTATCAAGAGCTACCTTCCGTTATTCTGTCCTTCGATATGGAGTGAAGGGCAATTGGTGAAGATTCTGGAGAACATAAAGATGGCCACTAAGAGTGTTATGAAGACGTGCCAGGCTGTCAGCCGACCAGCTCGCATTCTTATCTTTGAGATAGCGAACCCCGACACCAAGATATGCAGCGCCACAAGTGGAGGCTTCAGCAAACCTGTCTCATAACGAAATCAGTTATGAGTCAGAAGCAGTATATTTTGTAATCATAAAAACATTAAAAGCTGGAAGGCTTATTCGAGATCTATACCTTATTAATTGTTGCAATATAATTCATAAAATAATTTGTGGTATCTGATTTTAAGGATGGATATTAGTTAGAAGCTTCCGAAAATAAAAATAAAATATGTAAGTGATGTTTACAAACATTTACTAAACATCAGTGGATAGACAAAGACTACTTAAAAATTCCTAAGCGGAAATTATCATTAAGGAAGTACTGAAACACGGTTTATAAAACAGTATATTTTAGTAATTAAAAAAATTGTCGATAAGTTTTTGCAAAAGAATTTATAGAACCGTATTTGTGAGCAATTTGGAAGGAGAGATCCAAGTTGAATATTCAAAAATAAATAGAAAAGTATCTTAAGAATGTTTATAAAGTGGTACAGTTTATAAGGGACTGCAGTGCTACCGAAACTACTAACAGCATACTCCTACGCCTTACGCTTTATATCGGCATGATTTTTAAAAAAGGCTTTATAACTAACTGAAAGGGGAAGGCTGCTTACTTATAATCAGTCTTGACGTCCACGGGTCCTGGAATCCACCCGCAGCCTCTGAAGGTCTCGGAATGTAAAATTTGGACTCCAGGTATTTGTCCTCTAGCGCCAAGTAGTTAGCCATCGCTGCCTGAAGACAAACAGTAGCTAATGTGTTGAGGACGATGATCCTGTTGGTGAGGAGTCTCCTTAGCGACGAGAAGAATCCTGTATAAAGGATTCTATTAGTTTTGTGGCACAAACTGTAGGCATACCACTGGACATTTCCCGTTATTTGAGAGGTAGGCCCATGTGCAGGAAAACTCGGGAATTTAATATACTCAGGTCAACATATTACTTTCTGACGTCCTGAGGACGTACAGACCTTGCGATGGTCTGATCCTGCATACAAGAAATCATACTGTTTGACTCAATAATGGCTTAGAAAACCTCTGTAGTAGAGGAGGCCAAGAACGGAATAAAGAATAAGAAAAGAACAAGGACAAAAGAACTGAACAGAAGGGAATTAACAAGAGTAGAAAATAATTATAAATTAATGAAAAGAAGGCGAAAAAGAGAATAATAAACTAGAGAAGAAGGGATAGGAATAAAACATGACAAGGAAAATCAGACAATAAGACGAGAATAAGAAAATAGAAGACTCAAGAAGAAGAGAACACGAAAATAACGGTTAAAAATTAATAAAAGAATTATAAAAAGAAAGAAGGTAGGCACAATAATAAGAGAAAAAGAATTTGAAAGTATAGATGTGAAGAAGAAGAATAAATATGTCGCAATAGCCTTGCACTACCACGAAACATGATCAGGGCTACAAACCTGTATTTGAAAGTCTGGGGTCAGTAGGCGCTTGGAAGGTGACGCCTCGCGCCAGATCCACAATAGACGCTGCCATTTCTTTAACAGCCTGTGACGGAAGCTGACGTGGAAACATAGCGACCAAAATGGCTACCACAAACATTAAAGTAGACAAGATAGGCCAACCTTAAAAGAAAACATTGTACGTAAATCAGTCACAAACTGGAGAAGGGTTACTTTAAAGAAGTGACGTCGGTTACAAACGAACTATCAGACTATTAACTGTACTTTCTTCATTCTGAAGAAAGAAATTGGTACTAACAGAGATTGTGGTCAGAAATGTTTAACTATTACGTTTTGTCTTTGTTAGCTGCAGCATACGAACCGAAGCTTTTAAATGCAAGCAGACGCAGTTTTCCCAGATCTTAAAGTTAACATGAGGAAAAATAGGTTATTCGTATTGTGGTTGAAAGCAAATGTACTTATTTCTTCATCCTGATGCGAAGTGTTAGTTTACAACAAAACTGAAATGTAGGTACGAGGTGCGATCGGAAAGTTTCTAGACTGCGCCTATAAAAACCCGTACACTTATCTCAGGTATTAAATTCATCCATCACCCTCGAAGTAGTTCCCCTGGGAGTGAACACAACGA